TCAGAGGGTCCGTGCCCTGATTCTGCAGGAGATACAACTGCTACCGCCCAGGGCAGGGGCACCGGCCTGGCAGTCCCCCGGGTGGGGCCACTCACACTCACTGCTGGATCCGGGGCCCTGAGCCCCAGCAGCCTGGTCCGTGCAGTGAGCTCACAGGAAACAGAAAAATCCCCAGGAGCCAGGCACTATGCAGGTGAGTGAGGTGGGGGCTCAGGGTTAAAACCCCAACCTTCCCATCCCCAGCTCCTTCCACTACCCACAGGAGGGCATCGGGGACCAGGAGGCAGTCTAAGGCCAGGCCCATGAGGACCTGGGAGGGCACAGCAGTGCGAAGGCTGAGGGGACTCCTCCAGGGTACCCTGGGAGCCCCATGGAAAGGGCCCAGCAGGTGGCCTCATTCCAAGCCCTGCATTTTACACATGTGGATGCCAGGCCCGGAGAGGGGCGTGAGGGGGCCTGGGCCCCTTGCTTGCCATGGCTCCACCTATGAGTCCAAAATATCTTGGGAAATGGGCAAGCTATTCGGCTTCTTCCTGGCTCACCAGGAGGAAAACTGAGGCTAGAAGGGGAGGACGCAAAGGCGGGGGGGTGGGAGTCTGCAGCAAGTCTCCACCGGCTCCGGCAAGTGTGTGGGGGGCGGGGTCTACAGGAGGTGAACTCATGGGTCCCTTCTCAGGCGGAACACCCCCTAAGAAAGGCGGGCAGGGAGCCCTTCTCGGAGCCCTATGTGGACCACCTCTTGCCGGCAGCCCACGTGGGCTTCATCAGTGCCAAGCAGGCTGGGAGGGCATCAAAGGCCACCAACCGGAAAAGGCCGGTGGGATGGGAGGAGACACGAGTTAGTTCCAAATCTAAGGACTGGGCTGCCCTCAAGCAGGTGGCTTCCCCTTCTGGGTCCGAGTTCCCCTAGGTGACCTTCCAGGGTTCTTGGGACCATTAAAATGCACTGAAATCTTAGAGACTCGGGGGAGGAGGGGAGGTGGGCAAGCAACACTGACACTGAGTCCCTGCGGAGGGCGCTAAGGACGAATTTCTCACATCTCTTTCCCACGGTGGCTAATGGGCGGGATGGAGAGCCTGGGGCCCCGTGTCATGAGGACACTTCACCAGCAGGACTGGGTGCACAGCGGTTCGTGGGCAGAGGAAAGGCAGCCCCGCCCATCGCAGATGCTCCATAGTCCTCCCACCAGACCCTGTGCAGGGCGGGCAGGGACACGGTCTCCCTCCTGCTTTAGCGCCAGCCCAGTGCGGTGATGCCGCAGCAGCTGCTCAGAAACTGTCCCTGTGGAGGCCGCGGGGGCCGGCGCCACACCCCCCCCCAGGGGCACTGGTGCTGCCCGCGGGGAGGCCCCCACCTTCAGCTCCTGCATGGTCATCTCCTTCCCGTGCTCCTTGCTGCTCTCGATGAGGATGTCCAACGCGTCCGAATAGTCCTTGCCCTGCGTGCACTGCAGCTTCTCCCGGATCGCCTTTTCCAGGCCCTTCTGTAGGGTCTGTCGTGCCTGAATGCCCTGGGGGTGGAAGGGGCCATCCTGTCACCCAAGGGGAAAGGCAGGACCACCCAGGGCCTCCTCCAAGGCGGGGCGGGGTGAGGGGGTTCCTATGAGAACGTCCCCTCTCCACAGAGACCATGGTGAAGGCTCCCCCGCCCTCCCACTGGCACCCCCTCTGTCCGTGACTGGGTGCTCACCCGCCGGTAGCCACTGAAGGGCAAGTCGACAGGCAGGGAGAAGACGTTCTCCACAAACTGCTGGTAGACCTCAAAGAGGTGCCCAAGGTCCTCTTCGGGGATGCTGAAGCCCAGGAGGACACGGATGGCCATGCGGAAGGTGAGCTTCTGGGCCTCCTGGTACACGTTGATGGCCTCGGGGTGGCTGCTCCAGGCACGCAGCGTGTCCTGGATCACCAGCTGGATCTTGGGCAGGTAGCTCTCCAGAGCCTCGTGGCTGAAGATCTTGGAGAACACCTGGAGGGAGAGAGGTGGGCGGGCGCCCGGTCAGCTGGGCTCGGGCTGCCTTCGAGGCCCCCCGGGGGCCTGGCTGAGGCACAGGTCCTGTGGCTGTGACTGGGGAAAACTCCAGGTCCTCACCCTGGCCACGCTCCACCTCTGTCTCCTGGACACAGTGCCCTCCCTGGCTCCCCTTGCCCAGCGGTCGGCAAACTCATTAGTCAACAGAGCCAAGTAGCAACAGTACAACAATTAAAATTTCTTTTGAGAGTCAAATTTTTTAAACTTAAACTACATAGGTAGGTACATTGTTGTTAACTAAATTAGGGTACTCCGAAGGCTTAGGAAGAGCCACACTCAAGGGGCCGAAGAGCCGCATGTGGCTCGAGAGCCGCAGTTTGCTGACCACGGTCCTAGCCTGACGGGCCTGTGTTTTGATGGTGGGTGGCGGGGGCAGGACGGGATGAAAACATCATTCATCAGAATTTTTACTCAGAGACCTTCCACATCACTCCCAGGGTGACCTGCGCGCTCATCTTCTGTCTGGAGCTCAGGAAAGCTTGTGCTCCAAACAACGGCAAAGCCCTGGGGGCTGGGCAGCCCAACTGCCCACAGGCCTGTGGCTGAGGCGGCCATCCCAGCCACGGGGGCAACACAGAGAGGTCTGGGCAGGGCTGGAGGGGAGGCACTGGCCCATCCCGAATCCTCAGGCCACAGGGCAGAAGTGCCCAGAAGTGGAACAAAGGTGAGCAGAATGGGCGAGGACGAGGTGGCTCTTCTGCTCCACTGACGGGAGAACAAGAGAGTCTGAGGCTAGACTGCAAGTAGGACTTCCTGAGGCCCAAATGTGCTCTCACTCCCTGGGAACCATGTACAAGGTGGAGATCCTAGAGCAGCGGTTCTCAACCTGTGGGTCGCGACCCCTTTGGGGGTCGAACGACCCTTTCACAGGGGTCACCTAAGACCACTGGAAAACACATATATAATTACATATTGGTTTTGTGATTAATCACTATGCTTTAATTATGTTCAATTTGTAACAGTGAAAATACATCCTGCATCTCAGATATTTACATCACGATTCATACCAGTAGCAAAAGTACAGTTATGAAGTAGCCACGAAGATAATTTTAGAGTCGGGGGGTCACCACAACATGAGGAACTGTATTAAAGGGTCGCGGCGAGAACCACTGTCCTAGAGGGTCTGTTAACAGCTGGGCCATCAAAAAGGTCTCCGTGTGACCAGGTCTGGAGGCAAGGGGGTGGGGGCTAGGCTTTCCACCCCAAAAGATCACAAAGGCTAGCGGAAGCCCTTTCTCTTTCCTGGCATCTTCCTGGTCCATGTTAAGTAGCCAATGAGACCCTGTTGCCACCCCCCCCTCCCCCGCTTTCAGTTGGCCTGATTCCTCAGCAACCCCTCCTGCCCCTCCTCACCCAGATGCCCCTGCTGCTGCCAAGGTGTATACGGGAGGGGAGAGAGGGGAGGATGTTAGTTTATTTACTGATGGCCTGTGGGTCTCACTTGTAACCGACACCCTCCATCCACTCCCCCCACCACCCAGAGTCTGGAGCAGAAGGGGGAGGTGCCCTCCTGCCAGCACCAAGGGGAAGGTCATGGGGAAAGGAGGGGGAGGGGCAGCTCAGGGGAAGGAGGCAAATATTCCTCCAGCCCCCCCACCCTGCCCCATGCAAACCACACACACGCGCCCGCCCTCCCCTCCTGCCCCCCAAACACAACCACCGCACAAACTGTAAATGTGAGAATTTCCCCTGCAGTCAGCTCGAGGAGGAAAAGGTAACATTTTCCTGGCCTCGGCCCTGCATGGCTAATGGGAGGGCTGGTTTGCAGAAATAACAGTGCTGGCCCTTCAGTGGCCCAGCCAGGCGTTCACAATAGCACTTTCATTCCGAAATTCCCGGTGGGCAGAGGGAGGGAGGGAAGGAGGGGGGAGGCCGCTGGTGAGGGGCAGAGAAGCCGCACTGTTTGGGGCTGCTCCTGCTAGGAAGGGACAGCTGAAAGGTAGAAGGGCGATGGGAGGTGGGCAAGGGCAACCAGGCCTGGACGGGTCACACACACCTTGTCCAGTGTGGGGGTCCCAGGAATTCCAGGGGGGACTTCGGCTGCCAGCTCCCTTCACAGGGTTATGGATAAAGGCAGTGTTCTCTGTCTCGGCCTTCCACCCTGGCCTCCTTAGGATTCTAGGTTCAGCTCTTGGTCACAAATCTGATGGGCTGGGAGTGGGGGCCCTGTCCCCGGACCCCAACGCTGGCCAACTAAGGGGCCTTACAGAACAGCAAGGAGCCCACAGGGTGAGCAGAGAGTGGCACTGGGAGCTAAGCGGGTTCACTGGGAAAGTGGAAAGATAACTGTGGCCACCAGGCCTCGGGGGAGGAGCAGGGGGGAGGCTGGAGGCAGGGACAAGCAAGGACAAAGAAGCCACACCTGGCCCAGCGTAGGCAGCCCAGGGCCGCCTGAGGGGTGCTGACATGGAAAGCATGGAGGCCGGGGCTGGCCAGCTCCCCAGTGCGAGGGAGACCTGGGCTCCAAGGTGGGCATGTAGAGGGGCAGTAGGGCAGAGGCCACACTGACCAGAACCGGCAAAGTCAATGCCAGCTGGGCCCTAAGGGGCAGTGGGTGGCGGGAAAAGGCAGCCTGGGTGCCCAGAGGCCTGTTTTTAACCCCAGATTATCCACCAACTTGCTGTGCGATCATGGCCAAGTCACCCCCCAGGCTCAGTGTCCTCATCTATAAAAGGCGAGGTTGAGCCTGGTGACCCCTTTTTTCCTTTCAATGTACACAGCACATACACCCCAGTAGCCATATGTCCCTAAGCAGATGCTATCCCCTCCAAGAAGCCCAGAATCTGGCATTACACGAGTCCCCCGGTGCCTGCCAGGCCCCCACGCACACACCCTACAAGGGCTACGGTGGCCCAGATGGGGCCATCTCGGGGTTACCAAAAGGGGAGCTCTCGGTGCAACCTCTGGAGTGGCCAGGCTGGACCCACTGGCAAGCCCTGCCCTGCCCTGCCCCAAAGGTTACATTCCCTGCGCCCTCTAGCGATGGCCGACTGAATAGCGCCTTCTGGAGCCTTGGGGAGGGCAGGGAGGACTCAAGGAGACCTGGGACTGAGCCAATGGTCCACACCTCAGGAAGCCCACAAACACCTTGAGCTTGCAGCCCCCCACCCCCACCCCAGGCTGGGCTTCCAAACGGAGAACTGCAGCCAGGAGCCAGGCTCTTATCTTGACCCAACAAGAAATCTAACTTCTGGAGTCTCTTTTTCACCTAGATGTGCCAGGACTCTCCTCAGAGCCCCCTGAGGTGGAGAAACTGCCCACATGAGAAGCCACGCAAAGGCAGTTTCGGGCACTCCGGGACCAAGGGGCTTTGCTTGCGAGTCCCCAAGGCCAGGCGCCTGCCTCTGGCCAGCTGTTCCATAGGCACTGGGCCTCCCAGGCCCCAGGAAAACTCCAGGGCCTCATCCCTGGGTCTGTGCCCAGGGTTAACAACGGGGCACTTCCCGCAGCAGGGACAGCCCCCACCACACAGGCCAGGAGGAGGCGGAGGTGCTGGCCAGGGCAGAGGGAGGCTGCAGTGGGGCGGGCGGGGTCAGGACTGGGGCATGTGGGAAGGTGCCCAGTGGAGCCGCTCCGTGTGAAGAAAGGAAGGGCTCCCGGCCCCCAGAGCCGCCTTCCCTGACCACAACAGTAACAGCAGCCAGGGCGGCATTGTCCCCCTCTGGGTTTCCCTTGGAATTCCCAACAGTGAGCCAAGAACGCTGGACAAAGGTCATTGGGAACCAGGCCTGGCCCCGGCAAAGCCCCGCAGAGGGAGCAGCAGGTATGGACTTTCTACCAGGGTTAAAGCCAGGGAGGGCCAGGGCAGAGGGTCGGGGAGACCTGGGAATGCTCAGCCACAGGCTGGGCAGGCTGGGCTCCTGCCTTTAGGATATGCTTGGAAACCCTGCCCCTGCCCCTGCCCCTGCCCCTGTCCCTGCCCCTGTTGGTTTCCCAACAACACTGTGGGCTCAGGAGTCCACATCCCTGGTTCTCCTTCTACCCTGGATGAGAGATGATGCCACAATGAGGTGGGGAGGGGAGGGAGGGGGGACCACCAAGGGGCTTGTCAAAGCTCAAATTCCCTGTAATTGATTTTACAAATCCTTCCTCCTCCCCCCCTCCCGCCTCTCACCCGGTGCTCCTGGGAGGAGAGTCACTCAGTGAACCCTCAGGGCCCTGCATACTGCTATGCCCAGCCAGATAGCCTCCCCCTTCTCTGCTGGCCGCTACGGATGGACAGACAGATTGAGATGGATGGGCAGCCTCCAGAGCTGGAAGAGCCAGAGAGGGAACCCACTCCCTGGGCCAGTGACTCAGACTGGGAGGAATGGAAGCGGCGGCTGCCCGGGAGGGTGGGGGCCGAGGCAGGCCACCCTGCCAAGCCACCAGAGCCGTGGCCTTAGGAGTGGAAAGAATAACAGAGGGCACGCAGCCACCGGGGCAGCTGTCCGCACAGCACAGGGGTGACGCCAAGGTGTGTGCTTTATACTCGAGCGAGAGGGAGGACAAGAGAGGACGTCATCTGCCCAGCCGCCTGGCATTTCCACTGGGCCTGGACTGCACCCTGGCCGCCTCCTGCGCCAGCCCCTAGCCCCCTG